TGGTCATTTAGGTATACCCTAGATCTCCATATATCTATGTACATGGTATTAGATGTAAGCCTCTCAAATATGAGGGGCGTTAGCCCCGAAGATATGATAGGATTAAATCTGATTTACATAGAAGTAATAAATAAATATTTTATCATTAGTTTTTATAAAACAGGAACATTTGTTACAGTGTCATTATCTCAAATTTTCCAGATGCAGTTACACTTTCAGAAGATGTTTTGTAGTTGTGGTTTTGGAATGATATGTTAATTGCGTCTATTTTTCTGTCCACAAATTGATACCTTATCGCAGCTTTTGTATGGCAATATGAATTGCTGTACTATCTTGTCTTTATCTGGTTTAATTGCCAAAATTTGAACTCTTTGCTGATAAATGATAACACTTCTATATTAAGTAAGGTTGAATTGAACGGTTGGTCAATTTAACAGCTCATTTCTGGTTGTTTATTCATATCAGGCAGACTGTATGCTTAACTTTTCACTATATAGAAGATGCCATCTCAATAAATAATTCAATAATCATAGTTTGTTGACTATGTTGATCGAATTTGAAATAAACGAGATACACTACAGTTAATTCTGTCTAATATCTTGACTTAAATCTAAAAATTGACAATGACAATGTTCAGGTCAGGACCCTGTACATAAGTGGTTGTCGCTGTTTGCTGTCTGTCATATTTCTTTTCCGTTTATTGTTTTATCGCAAATCATGCCGTTTTTTGCGTTTAAATTGTTTACATTTTGTCATGTCTTTCATAGCTTACTATACGGTATGGGTTTTGCTCGTTGTTGAAGGCCGTACTGTGACCTATTGATGTTTACATTTATATCGATCATTTTGTCTCCGTTGGGAAGTTGTCTCATTGGCAATCATACCACATCTCCTTGTTTTTATATTTTTTGCCAAGTACGTGTAGGTTTGTTTTGTTTTGTTTTTTTTTCTTTCTAATTTTATGATATATCAATCAATCAGAACATGTTAAAGTTAAAAGTCGAAATGCTGGCATTCGGGGATTTATTTCAGCCCATAACCATTATATACATTGACATATCAATAATAAAGATAACAGAACTCAACAAAAAATAAAGTCTTTAAAGGGGCATTAGCTACGAGATATAAAAACAAAATAAATAAAATATGATTTTTTTTTGTTCAATCATTAATGAAAGTGAAATAGTGAAATGATAATTCGCTTTTAGCAGCCAGTTAAGTTCAATTTTGTCAAAATAAGCTAAGAAACATCTCTGATGATTTATTCACTTGCAAGTGAATAATTCGACCTCATTGAATCCGTATTCATGTGACCTTCAATTTAACCCATTAGCTAGAGATTGGTTACTATAAATAAGAAGATGTGGTATGAGTGCCAATGAGACAACTCTCCATCAAAGTCACAATGTATAAAAAGTTAACAATTATAGGTCAAAGTACGGCCTTCAACACGGAGCTTTGGCTCACACCAAACAGCAAGCTATAAAGGGCCCCAAAAGACTAGTGTAAAATAAATCAAACAGGAAAACCAACGATCTTATCTTTATAAAAAATGAGAAACGAGAAACACCTATGAACCACACCAACAAACGACAACCACTGAACAACAGGCTCCTGACTTAGGACAGGTGCATAAGAATGCTGTGGGTTTAAACGTTTTAATAGGGCCAATCTTCACCTTAACCTGATACAGTAGTGTAACAATACATCATAAAAAGACACACTATTCCATTTTCAATTTTACACTATAAAATATCAATTGAAATGGCTTAACTCGATCATAAAGACATTAAAACAAAAATAAGTAAACATACACTAAACGAATAAGTCTGATCTATGACACAATATCAATACAATATTAAAACGTAGGTGCCTATATAACATAGACGTTATAAGGTATTAATAAAAAAAAAAAGATGAATAAGAGTGTCAATAAGCCAACTCTAACCTGGGACAAAATGGCGTTAGATAAAAAAACGTACACAGGTAAATTTAAATATAATAATTTTGTTGTTAGGAGTACGGAATTTTTTTTACAAAATTAATAAATTTGTTGTTCAGAGTACGAGTATGGAAGTGCAAATTTATCGTCATACTAAATACTTATCAAAGGTGGTACATATCAAACATAGTGAGACGAGATATAACACAAAATAAGTAAAGTGAATTACAGAAATGCTTTACAAATTGTGTCAACATGTCAACTTAACACGAAATACGATTTGAGAGTACTCGCAGTTACTGAAAGCTAAAAGCCAAAAACAATTAACAATAAAAAAAAAAATCATGCATCAGAGACTTAAATCAATTAAAACACATCACAGGGATTTAGTGTTTTAACGCCATGGACAGTCAAAGAAGACATGACTTGTGCAATGCCAAAATAAAAGTATCGACAGGCAGTAGGATCGTTAGGATATTACCTTATAATGAATATGTATCATATTATATTTAGATATATAGCAATCTCTAAATAGAAAATAAACGTGGATGTGTATTTATACATCCCAAAATCCATTCGAAAAGAATACAAATTTAGTTATGTTTTAATTTGTTGATGACAAAATCTATGTTTGTGCCAATGTAAACAATATTCAAAGATCTTATTACAATATCGTCCTGAATATGCATGAAATATTTGCCACTGGACGTTAAGCAACCAACAATCAATCAATCAATCTTATTACAACATTAATAAGATAACCTTTGCTAATAAGTTTGTTTAAAAGGTCGATGAGTTTACACTGATCACTTAGTGATTTCCGCGCCTTTAGTACAATATAACCTTAAAATTAAGGATGTGAAATACCGTTTTTAATAAGTACGCATGTATTAGTCGTGTTCAGCCATTAAAAGAAAAAGAATGTCAACATTGAAAGTGAAACAAGATGAACCATTTCTTTTACTGATTCGATCCACAAACAATCATTCTTATACAGGTAAAAACGATGATAAACTTATTTTTCTAACCTATAAAATGAAATCAAACAGACCTAGAAAAGTCCAATTGTACGAGGTCGCTATCTATTTATAGTTATGTTAATGTTTATATCGGGTTATGTGACCGTCGGCAGTCTTCGGAGGTCATCTCGATTGTTAATTAGATGGCGTCAAGACTAAAATACCCACGAAATGCTGATATATATTATCGAGTCCATGCATTGTTAATTGTTTATTTCAAACTTATTGTAATTTGGAAATACGTTTTAGAATATGAGAATTTGAGTCAAATCGGTGAATATTATTTGACAGCTAATGCCCCTTTGAAGAATTGTATCAGTCCTGATTGTAACTTGAAGGGGTAAAATCCACAATCGACGATTTATGACGGAGACGATTAAAAACAAAACAAAAAGTTTATTTCCGCATTAAGATTTTGTATCGATATTATAACTTAATACATTAATTAAAAAAAACTTTCAGAAGGCTTGTCTCATAGGCGATCTGACCACATCATCTTATTTTTATATGTTCGAGTTATGCCTCTGTTGCAACTTAAGACAATTTGATTGCCAAGTGGTTACACTATTGTAGTATCTACACGGTGTAAATCCATGTTTAAATCCAGTACAACGTGTTTCATTAAAGAGTTCATATTTGATGGCAGTGTTAACTTATATAACAGTAACGATGCCTATTTAAAGAGCGTGGCAAACTCACTGCACGTTTAAACTCTTGCAAGAACTCGTTGAGGGGGTTGAGGGATCAGTCAGTACGTGGCCAGTTGCAAAGCAAGATTTCTGTCCCTACTGTATGTACCCTCATTTTCCAGTGTCAGTCCAACTTTCCGCACTTCGTCCCGGTCGACTCCCATTACATGACCTACCTATTATAATCATTGTTATGATATGAGTTTGAATATCCCTTTGATAACTTTCGCTTCTCTTCTGTAATTTGTTCTCGTCCTCAACATGCATGATATATTTGTCACTGGACGTAAAGCAAACAACAATCAATCCATTGCAGTTTCTGAATAAGGAAGTTAAACAATGCCACAAAAACACATAATATACTCAATCAAATCGCACAACGTCTTGCAAATTGTATAACAGATAGCAAAAACATAAGTGAAAGCAAAACAATTATAATGTACAATTTCGTACCAAGGAGTGTTCGAACTTACTGAAAGCAGGCTCACAGTGCTTGCCGATTTGATGTTATGCTGTCATATACTCTAATGCGAATGGCTGTAATTTTTCAGTGAAGAAAACTGCTATCGAGTAAGTGCAGCAGGGATAACTATAATACAAAGATTAGCTTGAAATTAATGAAACAGACATAGATCCCCATAACGAAGAATTTGATGGTAAATTTTTAAATCTCTTGAGTGAAACCTCTTCTGAAAGCATTTACCAGTGTATTTAAAAATCAAATACAAAGCATGCCCCCCACCCAACAAAAAAAAAAAAAACAAGCAAAAAACCACATACACTTTTTAATTACGACTTTGACAAACATCAGAAACACAACATTGAAAACTTAAAGACTGAGCAACACGATCCCCATCAAAAACTTGGGATGATCTCAGGTTCTATGGAAGGGTAAGCAGATTCTGCTCCACATGTGGCACCCATCGTGTTGATCATGGTGATATGTCTAATTCAGTAGGTCCCATTCGAAGAAAAGAGGAATGGATTTGGGTCACGATAATTGGAACATATCCGTCGTCATCTGTGAAACAGATATCCCATAACGGTCAACCAACTCGTGATGGCGTCCATAAAATTATCGAAGGGGTGATTTCAACTTCACCACTTGGAAAATGGGAATTCCTTAAAATATTCGTTATTTCTTGCAGAATATCTCATTGACAATCACCCTATTTAATCGTCTATCATGATACAATGACATCTTGGTAAAAACATTTCTTGATATTAGTAATATGTGACCTTAATTCATGTGAATTCCAAAGATAATTGTCAAATTGTGTCACGATCTAAGAAGAGATATAAGACTTAACGTAGTTCGTGATTCTTACTATTCTATAGTCGTAGAAAGGAAATAAACTCTCCAGAATGAAGGTGGCACAAGTAGCTTGTTTTGTTGTTTGTATTGCAGGTAAGGAGACTGCAGTTATTATTAGAAAGTAGCATTTATTTTAAAATTAAGGAATAACAGTGCTGTTTTGGAACATACAATGCTTTGCGTCTTTGGAGAAGCTGAATGCGACCGTCCAATTCAAAAACTTTAATTTCGTTCATATATTATTGACATTCTCGTAAAATGTTTGAAATAAAACACTTCAAATATGCCGGAAGCGTCTGGTGCGATTGCGCAACATTTTAGTGAATGAGTGAATTTTTCGATATTTAAATATTTTGATTATTTGTTCTGTTTTTATATTGCCTAATGTAACAATATGGTAGGTACTTGATCTTATTCCAAACGACTTCTCATCTTTTTGAATCACGTCTGTTGTTGTATGACGTCAGAGGAATGAAAATACGAGATGTATTTCACGTGTTTTTATTTGACAGTGAACTCGCGGTATACAATAGACTAGTTTCATATTACCGACTTTCGTCTCCGGAGTTTGTAATTGTTCGACAGGTTACATAATCTGTGGTAGGTCATCCTGGTACCCGGTCAAATTAAGGGCAAGTAAAAGAAGTAAATTCAAGAAATCAATCGGTGCAGATTAAGAAAAAAATAACTGTTTTATGTTTTCTATACACGACAAAATCATCGAAAAACAGTTAATTGTTTCCCCTAATTGCACCGATTGTAAGCTTGATTTTTACTTCTGTTAGTTGCTTTTACTCGACCGAGTACCAGAATGTCCTACAACATTGGGGTAGTAAGTTTAGCCGTCGAAAAATTATATAATCCTGAGTCAAAAGTCGGTAATATAAAAATGGTCTATTATTGTAAAAAATGTAAGTTAATGAATAAAGGTAAAGAATCAGTTGCAGCAATTTTAAGTCACTGTTAACTGATACGTAACATCAACCTAACATCATCATTTTGGAATACTAGTAGTGTATAGATCATATGAGCCATGCTCAATGACCGACGAAGTTACAACACAGCCGGCATGTTAATGATCGTGAACGGTTGATTGATTTTTGTTTGCATAACGTTCAGTGGCAAATATTTCATGCATGTTCAGGACGATGATCTTTAATAAAGTTAGTTAGCCGCAGGCTAAATGGATTTTGGCTTATTATTTTCGTTATTCGTGACGTGACAATGCTGAGAACTAAAGTTGTTAGTTTTATAATCAAATAACATGTCTTAATGCTGAGTAATCTGGATTCTTCTTTTATTTTGATCGGCACGTTTACAGACAAATCGACCTTTATTGTCACGATTTTAGTTGTAAGATTAGTGTCCTTGCGTTTATATAATTACACATATAATGATAAAAGTCATTTCAACGCAGGTGACACATTTCAAGACACGAAAAACAATCAATATTTTATGAACCATTATGAAGACAGCGAAATATGAATTACAAATAGTTATATTTATAAATGTAAAGAATAAAAATTCAAATAGTCCAATTAGGAAAGAAAAGTATGATGTCTATTTGATTAAAAGACTTCAGTTTCATGCCTTTAATTTCAATATAATCAAAGTTGATCAAATGATTTTGTAAATTTTTTTACTGCTAAAACATCCAAAAAAGTTTCATTTTAACATACATTGTATTGACATTCAGTGTATTGTCATGAATATTTAACATTAGCAAAAAGCTTAATCCTATAAAATAGTTTGCAACAAGATGTCTCACATGCATACATAAAAAACGAGGTGAACAAAATAACTTTTTTTGGGTGCAAGGCTGATGTTAATGTGTGTATCGTCCTGAACATGCATGTAATAATTGCCACTGGACGTTAAACAAGCAACAATTAAATGGATCACATTAATTGTGTCTACCTCTATGTGACAAACAGCCTTTTTAGGTCAAATATGTCAATTTGGTACTTCATAGTGACATCCCAACTGACAACTCTGAATTATAGATCCATATTGTATTTAATTCTTGGGACAACAATTTTGGTTATGTAATCGCCCCTCCTCTCTAATTTTCAAAAAACTAATTTTGGCCACTTCCCATCTGAAACAAATTAATTTTCTTTTAAAAAAAGATTGTATCATACTATTTATAAAAAAAAAAGCCTCTCCCCCTAATTGCACAAACCATTTCCTTTATATCGCGTTAAAAATACATTTACTATTTACTATTTTGTAAATATGGATTTCTAAATATATCTATTTCCTCTCGTCTTTTCTCATGAGATTTCAGATTTAAAAAAGTATAGATAGTTTTGGTATTCTTCCTTCTAACCATTCCAGCTCAAGTCCATGGACGCCGGTTACAATGTTGAAAATGAAAACAACACTTTAAAAATTCATGCGTCCGAATCGCTTTTCTAGATTTACCCTCACCAGGAATGCTCAAAGCCGAATATTTGAAAGCCAAGGATGTATAAGGACCGAACTGTTGAAGAGCTATATGACCAAAAAGGACCTAAAAATAATAGCCTAATCAAAATCGGGTCAAATTTTCCTAAAGGAGTTGAAACCATAGTTGCTTAGTAATCATAAAATTTATAAATGAACAATTTTAGAAAGGTTTGTTATACCGGTAAATCATGTCAATCCAGTAATACGGAACTACTGAGCTGATGATACCCTCGGGGACTGATAGTCCGGGGACTGATAGTCCAAATACATATATTTTTTTCATTCTGACACTTGTTCCCTACACTTCTCTGTAGACCATTTGTCAAACAATTGCAGACAATGGAATTTCGTTCAATCTTACAGCAAGAACAATTAGACATGACGACATCAAGGCCTGCTATTGCTTAGTCGGATCGTAATAGGAATTTTAAAGAAAGTATTATTATCCTAGAATTAGATGATGATGATGATGACGGATGGCTTCTTAACGTCTGGAGCGTCAAGTAAAAAGCATATTCAGGACGAGACCAGTTTAATATATCATGAAGTTTGAACCCCGCTTTGAACTAGACCGACACGCTGAGCCGGATTTTAACGAGTTAGCTCATAAGGTAACACACGACAGAAAGACATGTTAATCTACCCGGACACATTATTCTGACTCCGGGCCGATCAGTCTTTGCTCTTACTCCCAAATGCCGCTTGCTTAGTGGAGAAGCAGCAAATATCAATTTTTAAGTCTTTGGTTTGAACCGGCCGGCGATCGAACACACGACCTTCCGCTCTCGATCCTAGAATAAATATTTTGTGGTTAATTTTCATATATTACTATGCTATGGTCTTTTTTTATCAGTTTGCACGGCCCAAGGTTGGAGCTCCCAATATAGTTGTAGAGCCATTGTAAGATCTGATTGTTATCAATTTGGAAACCACCCAGAATGTGGAACGAACGGTGTAACCTACAGGAACAGGTATTTTAAAATTCAGCGATTTTGTCTTTTTTGTACTGTTTGTCTTATTTCCTCTGTTGTATCAGTGTGTGACTCATTCCTTTGATTTCTACAACTAAAGCTTTATTAATCAAAAATGTTTGCTGAAAAGATATATGTTAATTGTATATGCAATGAGGGGACTGTAGGTTGTTATAACTTGTGTCCAATCCTATTGCTTGACTATTGCAATACAAAATCAAATTAAATTAAATTAAATAAAATACAAAAAATGAATAGGGTATTTTTTTGGGGTCCCTGGAAAAATTTAATAATCTCTCTTTTTTTCTTTCAGTGGCCTTTCATATATGGTGACGTATATTTGCTTAAATCAACACCATTTGGAATTTGGTGGATGGTTGTCTCATTGACATCACATCTTCTTATTCTTTTTTTGCTAATCTTTTTTTCAAATGAACAAAGTCGAAATGTCTTTAACGAAAATGTTAAAAACAAAGCAATGTCAAGCCTCAAAATCCAAATATCCTACCATAATTTTTTTTTTACGATGAAGAATATTTGGAAATGATGAAGTTGGTACTTTTTAGATGTGATTATAGTAAAGCCCACTGTGCTGATAGAAACATACACGTTGCATATGATGGGGTATGCAGCACAACAACAACTATGGCACCCTCTGGTACAACTTCCGGTACCGGAACTGGCACAGGGGGAGGCACCGGTCCAATCATTTCCGGTCCTGAGGCTGTGTTTGACTTCTTTTGCCTAGAACTTAGCCATCACCCATGTGATACAGATCTTGAAACTATTTGCGCTTCTAATGGAGTAACATACATAAACACGTGAGTATTGACAAAACTTATGAAATACTTTCAGAAAGACTTAGTAAGATTTGGCGTTACATTCCTTTCGCCGTTTCAGAATCTAATGCATTCTTGGTAATATTTTCAAAAGCATACACCAAAACGTTGTGATTGGTTTAAAACATACTAACCAATTGAAATTCAACCGATGACGTAACGTTATTTTCATTTCGGTGTACAAACAATGAGATCACCCATAGTTCTTTAGATTATGCAAAGGCGAATTAGCCATATGTGTACATGTAAAAAAAAACCACAAAGTAAACGAGCTATAAAAAAGATAGATTGAATATAAAAATAAGGATATGTGGTATGATTGCCAATGAGACAACTATCCACTAAAGTTCAAATAAAGTGGATGTAAGTATGACTATATTAAAATAGATAACATACTACTGTCTATAACTCTTTTCCTTCTGATTTGAATTATGCAGATTGATTTTTTTATGATGTCTCTAGTTTTACAACAATTGGCAAACAACAAAGTATTATAAAATTTAAAATGAAATTATATATTTGACGTATTTTGAAATATGTAAATGACATGTTCCTTTGTTTTTCGTTTCAGATGCGAATTTGAAAAACATCGTTGTACTCACAGAGAAATAACAATCGCCAAGTTTGAGAAGTGCTAAGTCGTGACTGAATAAAATAAAAAGACATATTATTTTTTATGCGGGAAAGAAGGAATTTGAATTATTAACTAATGACACAAAATCCTTTCCCGCTCTTGATCAAATTCAAAGCAGTTAAATTGTTGTTCCTCATCTCAAAATCAGTGAGTTCTTCGATGTGAAACAAACTCTTACACATAACTTGAGAAGTTCAAGGCGGCTGCGAATACTAATTTGTGAAAAATTCGTTACTAGACATATATCGCTATATCTGTGTATTGAATAACAGAGATGTGGGTTAATTTACTCGCTGTGTATTGAATAACCCAAATGTGGGTTAAATTGCTCGATGAGTATTGAATAACATAGATGTGTGTTAATTTGCTCGATGTGTGTTGAATAACCAAAATGTGGGTTAAATTGCTCGATGAGTATTGAATAACACAGATGTGGGTTAATTTGCTCGATGTGTGTTGAATAACACACACGTGGGTTAATGTGCTCGCTGCGTATTGAATTACACAGATGTGGGTTAATTTACTCGCTGTGTATTGAAAAACGCAGATATGGGTTAATTTGCTCACTGTGTATTGAATAACACAAATGTGGGTTAAATTGCTCGATGAGTATTGAATAACACAGATGTGGGTTAATTTGCTCGATGTGTGTTGAATAACACACACGTGGGTTAATGTGCTCGCTGCGTATTGAATTACACAGATGCGGGTTAATTTGCTCGCTGTGAATTGAATAACGCAGATTTCGGTAAATTTGCTCGCTGTGTATTGAATAACACTGATGTGAGTTAATTTGCAAGATGTGTATTGAATAACACAGATGTGAATTAATTTACTCGCTGCTGTTTATTGATTAACACTGGTGTGGGTAATTTGCTCGATGTGTATTGAATGACACAGATATGGATTAATTTGCTCGCTACTTATTGAATAACAAGATAATTTACATAATACTAGTACTATCACAATTTGACAAACAATCTCTGTAAAATACAACATTAAAACATAAGAACAACTAAGAGGTACATCAAAATACGTGTTAGATAACTTTGTGGGAAACAATGTATTAACAGGGCAAATAATTCTGGTCGACTGCATATCAACTACGTTGATTAAAATAAAAACAGAAAGAGAAAAAGGTTCAGAAGGTCACGTAAGAAAATTATTTATAGACTGTATTCGCCATAATTGTAAAAAATGTAAGACTATATATCTAAAGAACTGGAACACTTTTAACATCCTACACACACTCGAGTGTCAAATTATACATAATCATATCAGAAAGGGCGACTGAATAGTCAATTGCATCAAGGCTATGCTTTATCGGAAGGGAATGCATTTAAATGAAAATTTCAAATAATAGAAAATCATTAGAACATAATGTATGCCATAATGCATGATTTATGCCACTGTGACAGTACTTGATAATTGATTTTTGGATCATAACTTAGAACTATCTTTTACGTTGACGTGAGTTTGGAACCTCTTAAGCACTTTCCTTTTTCTTGATAAGAGTCCAAATTTTCACTTAACAGTTTAAGTAGCCACCAATAAAACAAGCGTGCAATTTATAAAAAATTCGTAAGGGTTCCGCGGAACCCAGTGTCTTACCTACTTTTGCTGTTAATCGCAGTCTCAACATGAGGAAAACAATTAATAAAAATATTCCTCTCTATACCATCTTTTGATTGTAAGAAGCTTTTGTCCAAGTTTGGTAAAAATCAAGGATAGTTTATGAATCTAATAAATGTTTTAAAAACTTAAACTGCAGACTGTATGTAATGTTAACTGGAAGAAAAAGTAAGTCAATTTATAAGTAAAATACGGAAAAAATGGAACAAAATTTTAACAAAATTTCAATCTAGATACTAGTTTTTAATCATAAACAAGCTTCTGTCCAAGTTTGGTACAAATCAAGGATAGTTTAAGAAAGTTGTTAAAATTTTAAAAACTTTAACCACAGAGTGAATGTAATGTTAACTGGCAGAAAAACTGAGTCCATTTATAAGTAAAATACGGAAAAAATGGATTTTTTTTTTTGCAAAATTTACTTCTGGATACTATCTTATGATCATAAACAAGCTTCTTTCCAAGTTTGGTAGAAATCCAGGATAGTTTAAGAAAGTTATTAAAATTTCAAAAACTTTAACCACAGAGTGAATGTAATGTTTCCTGGTAGAAAAACTAAGTCCATTTATAAGTAAAATACGGAAAAAATGGAATTTTTTTTTTACAAAATTTACTTTTGAATATTATCTCATGATCATAAACAAGCTTCTGTCCAAGTTTGGTACAAATCCAGGATAGTTTAAGAAAGTTATTAAAATTTCAAAAACTTTAACCACAGAGTGAATATTTGTGGACGCCGCCGCCGCCGCCGACGACGACGACGCCGACGCCGACGCCGACAGAATGTAGGATCGCTATGTCTCGCTTTTTCGACAAAAGTCGAAGGCTCGATAAAAATGTGTTTTCTTGCTAAAAGCGGATGCACGTTTTTTTTATTTGGATATGTTTCCAGTTAAGTATCGTTCATTATTGAATGGATAATGATTCTTCCCAAAAAGCCTGATCATGAAAGAATCTGACTTAATTGATATTGACAGTGGAATGTACTGCGGGTCATTGAGTGAGTTCGAATTCCCCTTTCAGACTACGTCTTTTCATATTTCAATTTATATCTCCCATGACCATTGGTAAAAGTAGTAGTTATGAGGAGTTTTGAATATAATCTTGCCATTACATACTAGTAGGTACTGGCATACACATATGGATATTATTTGACTGAAATCTTCTGTTAGAAAATTGTGAAATCATTTGAAATAAAGGAAAACATCTCCCATATTCAAAGCTCTGATTCATTGTCCGGATTTTATTATACGTAAGGTCTTTTTTATCAGTTCTTCAAAGTTTGTATAAGTTAATATTTTCAAACTTTTGGGCCTCAAGCTTTGCTGAAGAGACACCTATTGTCGAATTGCGCATCTTGTGCAGTAAAATTGGTACCACTTAGTCGATACCTATGTTGGCGCGGACTGTTGTTCCCCGAGTGTATCACTAGCCCGCAACGAAATGACAAACAGCAAAACACATCATAGAAAGCTAACGACTGAGCAACACGAAACCCAAAAAAACCGCGGGCAATCACACACAAAATTACAAAATGTAAGATGATCTTGTTCCACTTTGGCATTCGTCAATTTTTACCCAGTGTTTGTTATTTACTATCAAATCAGTGAACTCATGATTCAATACAGACATAAAACTAAAACGAGAAAAATTAGGTTATAGCACCAATGAGACATCTATTAACATGTAACCAAAAGTAAAACAGGATATATGCAACAACTATATGTTACTGAACGGTCTTCAACAATGCGCAAAACTCATACCATTAATTAAGGAATAATAGTTCCTCGAATGATAAAATGTGAAACAATTCAAAAGAGAAAAACCAAAGGCCTGGTGTATGCTTAAACAATTAACGGAAACAAATATCGCAGAAAGTAACAACAAAACAACAAACACATTCAATCTGTCTGCATAACAAGCATTTCACTTATTTCAAGTACATACACATGTATCGGTGTTAAACATGTTAAACTTTGTGACCACTCATGCAGCTCTGCACCTAAACTGCAGCAATAAAAATGTTACAAAAACACCTATTGAACATTAAACACGAAGTAGCTATCTAAGAATACTTGCAATTTTGTTTAACTTTCAACTAAGCAATGAATCATGTTCTTTCAGGATTAAATAAGTGAAGACCATAAAATATTTACATGTTTCCCAAAAGTTCAATATGTTTATCGCGATACTTTATGTTTCATTGTTTCGCATGTGTCATTTTAATGCCTTGGAGATTTAACTTACAATATGATATTCAAACTTGTTAAAGAAAATTAATACTCTTCTAAATTTTAAAATATTAATACCTTTCCAAATTTAGAAATTTGAATACCCTTCTAAATTCAAAAATATTAATACCCTTCTAAATTCAAAAATATTAATACCCTTCTAAATTCAAAAATATTAATACCCTTCTAAATTCAAAAATATTAATACCCTTCTAAATTCAAAAATATTAATACCCTTCTAAATTCAAAAATATTAATACCCTTCTAAATTCAAAAATATTAATACCCTTCTAAATTTAAAATAATAACACCCTTCTAAATTAAAAAAAATATTAATACCCTTCTAGATTTAAAAATTTTAAAGGGAAACTCCGCAAAAAAATGAAAAATTGATATTTTGTTCTTTAAGCATAAAAAACCACATGTTCATAAATAAAAAACTTTTATTCTCTATGAAAAGAGATCAAAATCGATTTTTGAAATTCACTATCAGTTCTCGACATATCGCCATCTTGTCGGCATGTTCGATCTAAAAAGTCACGTGATATCTATAAACCACAAAGACCAAAATGAATCAGGGATTTACCGACCGTGCGTTAAAAACTCCCATCATCAATCGGGGATTACAGTAGATGATCACTCATTGTGAAAATGTCTTGTCAAGCGTACGGTTTTTCTGTCTGACAAGGTTATGACAAAAGTCTAAATAGTTTTTCTTAAATCCACAAAAAAAGAAAATAGTTAGGATCTATAGCAAGCACAAGTTGATGTGTGCAGACCATTTTGAACAATCTTGTTTCGAGGGAGATTTGATGGTAATTATACTTTTTTTAATAACAAAATAACCTAGCAGTTCTGATAGCTATAGTTATCAAATCCTTATATGATAAGATCTCGTTGATTAAAAAAAATGTAGATTTGATGAGGAAGAAAAGTTTCAATTAAAAGAAACAAATGCAGTGTTCTTGTAACAATCACTGATTTACAAAAGATTCATTAGTATGCCTCTTTTATATAAAGTGCATTGGTTTATATAAAGAATAGTTCCGTATTTAGTCAAGATAATTTTTCAAATTAATAAAGTTATACGATAAATAACATTTTTAAATTATGATATTTAACGGATATTGACGGGGAGCAATGTTAGGAAGAGGTTTTAGCTAAGACAAAATATGTTGATATA